GGTTCAAACGCACTAGCCACTCCTTGGAAATCCTATCAGGGCCCCATATATTAGAACCGACTCGACAGCATTTAAAACCCATATGCATGTATAGCTGCAATTAGGTGAGTGGCAACAAAATATGGCTATGCTTACCATGACTCAGTAGAACAGATCAAAGGGAAGCTTGAAAAGATTTTTAAGGAAGATGCTATTTACCGCTTCTCGATCAAGAGCGTCTTGGAAATCTTTAAGTCGTCTTTCCTCATATTGTTTTTCTCTGAAAACTCTGTTTTGCCATAAAACTTCCTTTTCGTGGCGAACATGCATGAGCTGCACAGCAATCCTGCGTTCCTGCTGGGACTGTCTCATCAGCCGGTTAATCAGCTGCTCCTCCCGATAAGCCTCCTGAAAACACCATGCGAAGAGCCGATTACGGGTCAAGACCGTGCCTAAATTCTCCTTTGGACTAAGAAGCCTAAATGATTTTAAAACGCATACTGAAATTCATTGAGAACAAATTCTGCTATTTGACTTGAATTTGAACATGGGAAAAAAAATCAAATTATAGAAATGAAAAATCTCCAACAGTAGGCTGTCTAATTTGGGTATTTAGAAACCTCATGGACTTAAAACTTACAATTTGTTTAAATGAATTGCTATGTCCTTTAAAATCTGATCAGAAAACAAAATTGGTGATTGCTTTCAAGGTATTATATACAAGGTAAAGAAGTTGGGAATGGTGTTATATACACTGTAACGTAACCACTGGTGGTGAAATATTCACAGACATTTATTATCTAAGGATGGTAAATCAGATCAGTTATCAGTGGGTTCATTAGAATACCTGTGTGAGGAAAAGCTAAAAATGGATGGAATAGGAAGACCAAGAACAGGATTAGGGAAAATTATCTACTGGTGAATTTAAAACATTTGAATGGTGATAATCTGGAAGAACATTTAGATATTTTCAGCTAAATGAAAGTGCTCCAAATACTCAAAGGGGGACCAGTAAATGACCAGTTGGAACAACATTAAACTGGGAATTAGAGACCTAGCTGCAATCCCAGTCTGACCATCAACTGTGTGACCTGGGGCAGGGAACTTGGGCTTTTCAAGGCCTATTTCTTGGTAGAGAAACTGAGGAGGGGTTAGATGGAAGATGATCCCTTCAAACTCTGTTACCCTGTATAAACAGAGACATCATGTGGAAGGAGGAAGTAATTATAGTATTCAATGGGGAAGACTTAAAAAGAATACCTAAACCCTGATGATGTCTATTTAATATCTAACAACTTTGTGGCACTGTAGGAAAAGCACTGAACCACAAGATTGGCTTAAACTGCAAGGTTAATGGTTCAAACCCACAAGCTGCTCCTCGGAAACTCTATGCAGGGTGGCTGTAAATTGGATGACCTGATGGCACTCGACAACAACACCAATTCAAAACTTTCAGAACTAAGTCTGGCATCATTAATAACAGTATTTCAAACGATCCCTTCCACTATGAAATTCAGGAGAAATACAACATGTTGGACAAAACCTAGATACTCAATAACAATAACACTCTAAAAAAAAAGTGTAAAATTCTTATATTATGTAAAAATGGACATTAAATAAAAGTGAAACTGAAAATTAAAAATGGTTTCTGTTAATAAGATGCATTCTATAAAGATCAAATCATGAACATCTTTACAAATACATATCTCTTCAAGGTATACAACTTTCAAAGTTTTCATGTTAGTCATTTGTGTGTTTTGATGATCCAGTAGTGGAGGGGAGGTAGAATGAAAAAATGGTCATAACATATTAATTCCTCTTTCTGTATCCACAGCCATGCAGTGTTATTTTGAAGATATTCTCATCAAGAGATGGAGACTTATTTCTGCACCTCAAAATAGAGGTTGACTATGTGACTTAAATTGACCAATGGGTTATCAGTAAGAATCACACTGGGGATTTTGATTTTCTTATTGCTCTTGAGACTTCTGATACTACCATATGCATTATCTCACCCTGGCCTGCTGGAATATGAGAGGCCACATAGGGAGAGCCCCAGTTATTCCAGCTAGCCCCTACAAAGCCATAATAAACCAACCAGATCCTGTCAACCCAACAGCTGATCAAAGAGGTATGAGTGGGCCCAGCTGAGACAAACAGAGCAGCTAAGCCAGCCCCAATTGCTAACCATATTTTAGTTTTTTTGTCTTTTTTAAAACATAGCAGTAGATAAATGGTACATAAGGCATAGTTCCAGTTATCTTTTTAATAAAATATAAGCTTGCTTGATTTTTCCAAGTGGATCCTAGGAGATTTGGCTGTTGTATGACAAAGCAATTTAGATGTCAAGATGACATCTGGTTATTCTGACCCTTATGAAGAACAAGCTGGATTGATCAGGTAGGGTTTCATTATTGCCTGGCTGACATACCACATCATTAATAAAGAGGACAGAAAAAAGGGAAATTAATGGTGGAATAGTTGAGTCAATGAATGCAGTGTATGCTAGGGTTCAGTATGAAGAATAGAAAAAGTATTTTAGGACAAAATCCAAAAGTTTAGAGAAAATAGAAAAAAAAAAGATTTCATGTTTGTTCCATTTATAAGTAATTCAAGTTTATTTTTCTTTTTTAAATAGCTTGTTTCTCCAAATTTAATTGCAATATAAGGTATATTTTCTTACAGAAATAACACTGTAAGTTGTGGTTAGGTACTGAGACAGTCTACAAATGCCTGTTTAACCAAGAACATAAATGAAATATACTGGATTTCCAATGAATAAAATGGAAAATAGTAACAAATTCACAATTCCCTTTGAATATATTTAATCATATTTGGGGAGGACTTAGCTATAGAATCTAGAACACTTCAACATGATTGCCAGTCTTTCTGCCTCCCCGCAACCTCCCCAAGTTGGTGCTGCAAGTTTTACACTGAGCTAACAGCCCTAGCTTAATTCTCCAGAGATGCGATAGCAGTTTTCGTCATGAGACAGGGCACTGAAGAAAAGTTTGGGCAGCTAAGTATTCAAGGGTCTTTTAAGAGAGGAAGGAATCTGGTGTTAAACAGCTAGCTCCCTTTTTGAAAGGGTAGACAAGGTCCTGGGTTGGCTGAACTGCAAGAGCCAGCTGAGATATTAGCCAAATGAGCACAGAATCAATTGGGAGCCAACTCAAGTTCCCAGCCTGAACATTTTCACTTACATTTCCTAAAATGTGTATCGCCACTCAGCAGTTCTGACCCTAAGCTCACTAACTCCCTTCAAGCCAAGTCTTCTTCTAATATCTTCCCATCTCAGTCAATCTTGGTGTTGTTAAGTGCCACGGAGTCAGTTCTGACTTAGAGCTATCCTATATAGGGTTTCTGAGGAGTGACTAGTGGGTGTGAACTGCCAAGCTTGGGGTTTATACTACAGCACCAGCATTTATCCTACAGCGCCACTTAAGTAGACCCTATTATACTATCATACTAAATTTCAGGATTATTGTTGTTGTTAAATGCTGTTGAGTCGATTCCAACTCATAGCAACCCTGTATAGGGTTTCTGAGGAGTAGAGGTTGGGTTTAAACCTTGTGGGTAGCAGTCCAGTGCTTATCCAACAGTGCCACACTGGGACTCCAAGTTTCATTAGGGTCCTCCTAAATTCCTTCTTTTCTATCACTCCTAAAATCGAATTATTCAAGTATTCAATTTTGCCTTTTATATATGTCTGAAAACCATCCCTCTTCTCCATTTTATTCTGACTGGCACGATCCCTACCTTGGTTAACACTAGTCCCTTGGTATGATGTCTTCTCCCAAACCCTACTTCTAAAACCCATCTTCCCAAAAGTCACAACATCTTTTTCGCCTTAAGTCTCATAATTTCAACCAGGTTACTACATTTCTTTATGAATTCTAAGGTGAGGTAACAACTTGACCACAGCTTTCGAGCTCTCTCTTCACAGTCTTGATGAAAATGGCTGTGGCTCTGTGCCGTGAAGTCGGTCCCGACTTACAGCGACCCTGTACAGGGTTTCCGAGGCTGTAAATCTTTCTCCCACGGAACAGCTCGTAGTTTTGAACTACTGACCTTGTGGGTCGCAGCCCAATTAGTAACTACTACACTAAGGATATATAAACTCAGGGGGTGAGGGGGGCGCTGGAGTCACTTCTAATAGATGCAGTGCAAGTTAAGTGAGATGAAACTCTTCTTGACATGTGATCTACCTTCTTGAAAACCAGCACTGAAATCCTTGACAAATATTGTGTTCTCTTTGGAGAAGAGAAGGGAGGCTGGGCAAAGAGGCCATGCTGTACAGAAGTGCCCACTGTACCACTGTGAAGCAGTGGCATTGTGTTAACAGTGGCATTGTGTCAGCACTGTGTCAAGGGGCACCACATCAGTGGAGAGAAGACAGTGGGAGTGGTGGCTTCCTGGCTCTAGGAAGTACAGATTCCCCAAGCAGAGAAGGAACAACCTGGAGATGGAGGTCACTTGCTGGACAAATCCAGAGCTCAGACTCTTCCACATTCACAGGCTGTGGCTCCTTGACCTGGTAAACAGGCCTCCAGCTAGAGTCTTGCAAAAGTCGATGCTAACAGAACTCATATACAAAGTGAAGATAGTCAGAAAGAATTCACTCACCTAGTTTTCCAGGTAAATACAAGACTGAGATTGTAAGCAGGGAAATCAAAAGTCTTGCAGGCAAAACTAAAGCGATTTATAACACAAGGGGAAATGTGATCAAAATTCACTGCTAGATAATGAAACTAGAAATGGGTGTTGCTGTTGTTTTTGTTGTTAAGTGGCCTTGAGTTGGTTCAGACTCATAGTGATCCAGTATAGGGTTTCTAAGAAGTAGCTGGTGAGTTTGAACAGCCGACCTTGTGGTTCAAACTGACCTTGAGACTGAGTGCTGCTTATATTCTATAAATTCTTTTAATTAAGATACTATCAAGATTCCTGAATAAAGATATGTGAATTGAAATAAGAACTAGCTTAGTACAGTGCAGAGTTATTCTTTGAATAAAGAGAGAACCTATAAATTGTCTCACATTTTAGACATACACGCTTGTCCTATTCATAAGAACCCATTGCTGCTGCGTGGATACCAGCCCATACCAACATTGTAGACAGAGTCCAACAGACTGATATAAGTTCCGGAGGCTATAATCTTTACAGAGCAAATTCTGCCTCTTCTTTCTCGCAGGAAGCAGCTGGTGGGTTTAAGCTGCTGACCTTTTGTTAGCAGTCAAGCACATTGACTACTGCACTGTCAGGGATCCCTGGCCTACTTATGATCACAACTGAAATCATATTCCTTCCCAAGCTTATCTCAGACAAAAAATATCTCCATCCACCCTGCTGCCCACATTAGAAATCTGGCCTTTCACCCTAACTTTTCCTTCCCCGTGTCTATATGAAACATTAAGTCCTCCTGATTTTACTTTAAAAATAATTTTTGAAGCCCCGTCTCTCTACTGTCATTATGCTGACTCTAAACTTTAAAACAAGGATCATTTTGAACTTGGATTATAGCAAAACCTAACACTTGTGTCTCCTCCTGTAATCCATTCTCCAGACTTAAGGCAGTGGGCTCTTTAAGGGCAAACCTGATCTTGTCACTCTTGCTCCTGTTTGCTTTCTAAGAAGGCTTACAACGCTCCTTGAGATTTGGTCCCTAGTGACCCTTCAAGAATCGCCAATGTGCTCCTCCAGATCTCAACTTTCAGTGTACTAAGGGCACTGACCACCACTTGTCTGTCAATTTGTGGACAGGTTTAAGCTGAGCTTCCAGTTGAAGACAGAACAGGAACAGGGAGTGATGGACTACTTCTGAATATTTGTTCACTGAAAACCTTATGACTAGCAGTGGAACACTGTCAGCACCAGATTATTGAATATTGAAACATGAGATGAAGAGTCTCAGAATACTACAAGATATATTGCAGGAAGATAAGCCCTTCAGTTGGAAGGCACTCAAAATGTGACTTGGGAAGGGAAGAACTGCCTCCTCAAAGTAGAGATAACCGTGATGACATGAATGGAGTACAGTCCTCAGGACCTTCATTTGCTGATGAGGCACAACTCAAAATGGAGAGAAACAGGTGTAAAAATCCATTTTTAATCCAGAACATGCAATGTACAAAGTATGAATCTAGGAAAATAGGAACTTGTCAAAAATGAAATGGAATGTATAAACATCGCTATCCCAGGCATTAGTTAGCTGACATGGACAAGTATTGGCCATTTTGAATCTGACAATCACATTATTTCCTATGTCGGGAATGAAAAACTGAACAGGGATGTCCTCACATTCATCATCAAAAAGAACATATCAAGATCATTCATGAAGTACAATGCTCTCTGTGATAGGATACTATCCATACACCTATAAGGAAGAGAAGTTAATACCACTATTATTCAAATTTATGCACCAACCACTAAAGTCATTAATGAGGAAACTGAAAAATTCTATCAACTTCTTCAATCCAAAATTGATCAAACAGGCAATTAAGATGAATTGATAATTACTGGTGATAGGAATGCAAAGGTTAGAAACAAAGAGGAAGGATCAGTGGTTGGAAAATATGGACTTGGTGATAGAAACTATGTTGGAACTCGTAGGATAGAATTTTGCAAGACTAATGGCTTCCTCAATGCAAATACCTTTTTTTAAATAGCATAAAAGATGACTATACACATGATGTCACCAGATGGAATACACAGAAATCAAATTGACCACATCTGTGGAAAGAGATGGTGGAAAAGTTCCACATCATCAGTCAAAACAAGGCCAGGGGCAGACTGTGGAAAAGACCAATTACTCATATGCAAATTCATGCTGAACTTGAAGAAAATTAAAGCAAGAGCCAAAATATGACCTTGATTATTTCCCAACTGAATTTAGAGATCATCTGAAGAACAGAGTTGATCCATTAGACACTAAAGGTAGAAGACCAGAAGAGTTCTGGACAGGAAGAAAGTAAAAGGTCATTAAGAAGACAAGAAATCAGGAAAAGGCCAAAATTGATGTCAGAAGAGACACTGAAACTTGCTCTCCAGCATAGAGATGCGAAAGCAAATGGAAGGAGTGAGGCGGCACAAGAGCTGAACAGAAAATTTCAAAGGTCAGCTCAAGAAAACAAAGTCAAATATAATTAAAAGTGCAATGACATGGAGTTAGAAAACCAAAAGGGAAGAACTTGCTCAGAATTTCTCAAGCTGAGGGAACTGAAGAAAAATGTCAAGCCTCAACTTGCGGTACTGAAGGATCCTATGTGCAAACTATTGAATGATGCAGAAAATGTCAAAAGAAGATAGAAAGAATACACAGAGTCACTGTACCAAAAAGAAACGGTCAATGTTCAACCATTTCAAGAGGTAGCTTATGATCAAGCTTATGAGCCAATGATTCTGAAGGAAGAAGTCTAAGGTGCATTGAAGGCACTGACAAAAAACAAAGTACTGGGAATTGATGGAAAATAAATAGAAATCTTTCAACAAACTGACATGGCATTGGAGGCACTCACTCATCTATGCCAACAAATTTGGAAGGCAACTACCTGGCCATTTGACTGGAAGAAATCCACATTTGTGCCCATTCCAAAAAGAGGTGAACAAAGGGAATACAGAAATCATTGAACAATATCATTAACATCTCATTCAAGTAAAATTTGCTAAATACAAAAATAGATGCAACCATACATTGACAGAGAACTTCCAGGGGTTCAAGTTGGATTCAGAAGAGGATGTAGAATAAAGGATAATTATAGCTTGATGTCAGATGGATCTAGACTGAAAGCAGAGAATACCAGAAAGATGTTTGCCTGTGCTTTAGTAAGTACACAAAGGCTTTTGTTTGTGTGGGTCATGACAAGCTATGGACAACACTGCAAAGAATGAGTATTCTGGGATACTTAATTTTGCTCATGAAAAACCTGTACATATACCAAGAGGCAGTTGTTTGAACAGAACAAGGGAACACTGAATGGTTTAAAATTAGGACTGGTGTACATCTAGGTTGTATTCTTTCATCATACTTATTCAATCTGTACACTGAACAAATAATTTAAGAAGGTGGATTATATGAATTTAAATGTGACATCAGCATTGGAGGAAGACTCATTAACAACTGTGATATGCAGATGATACAATCTTTCTTGCTGTAAGCAAAAAGGACTTAAAATGTTTACTGATGAAGATCAAAGATCACAGCCTTCATTGTGAAGTGCACCTCAATGTAAAGAAAACAAAAACCCTCTCCACTGAACCAGTAAATAACATCATGACAAATGGAGAAATGATTGAAGTTGTCAAAGACTTCATTTTGCTCTTATCAACCATCAACATTCATGGAAACAGCAGTCAAGAAATCAAATGACGTATTGCATTAGGCAAATCTGCTGCACAAGGTATCTTTAATGCATTGAAGAGCAAAGATGTTAGCTTGAGGACAAAGGTGTGCCTGATCCAAGCCATGGTATTTCCAATAACCTTATATGCATGCAGAAGTTGGACAGTGAATACGAAAAACCATAGAAGATTTGATGCATTTGAGTTAAGGTGCTGGAGGAGAATATTGAAAGTGCCACGGGCTGCCAAAAGAACAAACAGATCTGTGTTGGAAGAAGTACAGCCAGAGTGCTCTGTGGAAGCCAGGATGGCCAGACTTCATCTCTCATACTTCGGACATATTATCAGGAGGGACCAGACTCTGTAGAAGGATATAATGTTTGGCAAAGTGGAGAGACAGGGAAAAAGAAGAAGACCCCCAATGAGATAATTGGCAGAGTGGCTGTAGTGATGGGATCAGGTATAGCAATAATTATAAGATTGGTCCAGAACTGTGCAGTGTTTCGTTCCATTGTGAACAGGGTCGCTATGAGTTGGTATCAACTCAATGGCACCTAACAACGACAAGGGCACTGAACCTTCGCACATGGTATTCATTCCTCAGGAAACACACTGTACCTTGCAGGATTCAGGTCTCCCTGGAAACTGCTCCATCTCATTCCACCCTACCTTCCTTAACTAACTCCTGATCTATCCTCTTCATTAGATCTGTGATACCATACTCTACATGTCTTCCCCAAACCAAGCTGGGGCTATGGGGTGGGGCTTCCAACCTATGCATTAACCACTTTAATCTTCACAGCAATACCACACTCTAATGTAATCACTTATTTGTAGCTCATCTTGAAACACCAGGCTCCGTGAGCATGGATTCCTCCTCTTTCTTGTTTATTGTGTTCCTCCATCCTGCACAAGGAATTAAAGTGTAGACATAGCTCAGAACGTATTTATATAATGGAAGAGAAGCCAGTGATTTTGAAACAGTAGCTGTATCATAAATTGCCTATTGTTGTTGCTGTTAGGTGCCATCGAGTCAGTTCCAACTCATAGTGACAATATGCATAACAGAACAAAACACTGCCCTGATTGCAGAGTGGTTAAAAGCTTGGCTGCTAGCCCAAAAATTGGCAGTTCAAACCCACCAGGCGCTCGACAGGAGAAAGATGTGGCAGCCTGTCTTCATAAAGTTTATAATCTTAGATACCTTGGTTACGAATCGGGCTGCAAACCCTAAGATCAGCAGTTCGAAACTACCAGCCGCTCCGTGGGAGAAAGATGAGGCTTTCTGCTCCTGTAGAGATTTACAGCCTCGGAAACCCTGTTCAGGGTCGCTATGGGTCAGAGCCGACTCAACGGCACTTAACTATAACAAATATATATATTGTTGTTGTTAAGTGCCATCGAGTCAGTTCAGACTCATAGGGTTTCCAAGAGCACCTGGTGGGCTTGAACCGCCAAGCTTGTGGTTTGTAGTCCAATTATGATCCTACAGCGTGACATCAGAAATCCATATGTTTTTGAGTTCACTCATATTTGTGTGTATGTGTATGAAAATGGAACTACAAGAAACATGCCTACCCATGTATATATAAGTGTGCATACATACTATGCATATATGGGAGTCCTGGTGTAGTCTTGTAGGATAAGCACTGGACTGCAAGGTAAATTTGAACCACAAGACAGGCAGTTCAAATTCACCAGCCACTCCTCGGAAACCCTATACAGAGTCTCTAAGACTCAGACACTACTCAACAACACTTAACAACTACCACAGTCATACATATGAATGTATGTATGTGTGTGTGCATATGACTACATTTTGTAAAATTCCCAGCAATTTTCTTTAACCAACAACTACATTACTTACCTCTTGTGCTTCATGGGCTATTAATTGGTCCATTAACAATCTCCGTCGTCTTTTCTCCCTCTGCTCTCGTGCAAGAGCATCTTCTTCCAGGCGCTTCTGGATTTTTTTAATGTAGTCATCATCTGAGTAAGTGTTTAGCAAGTCGGTAGCCATCTGGCCTGATGTATCTAGAGAAGGCTTGGATGCACTGAGAATAATAATGTTTATTTATTAGTGTAAATATTAAAGCAAATATTAGATCTTTAGTGTGATTCCCATAGTTTATCAAAAGGTTCCATTTACTACACAGCATTTCTGGCCTCTCTTCTCTGTGAAGTTCTTCCCAGGCTTAGAGCCTTTGTGTTCTTTCACTTCTCGTGATTTTGACTCTAACTAGAGAGATTCTTTCCTTTGAACCATCTTTTCCTTGTTCCTCCCTTACACCAATCGTTCCTGTTTGTCTTGTGGGCCTCTTGACTACCTATTTTTAGACAACAGTAAGCATACTTTTCATCACCCACGCATTAGGAAAGGCAGGCACATCTCTAAAAGTCAACAAGGTAGGTAAACTACTGCCGAGATGTTAGAGAGTACTTCTTCTGGTGCTTCTGTCTCCTCCCACTTTCCTCTAACCCATGGTAATCACCTGTAAGCTTCCAGATGGATTTCTGATTGCTTAGAGCCCTGGGCCAGCTCTAACAGGAAGCTCGACAGTTGAACGTTGATCCTTGCTGATCATACCACTGAGCAGTCACAGGTCTGATGCGGCCTCTCACGAGGGTTCTGGAGGCCCAAGTGAGAAGACCTACCTAACAACTCCTGTTCTATTTCATGCCCAAATTCCTAAAGGGTCAGAAACAGCCTGCTAGTCTTCCCAGAAGAAAACAAACACATTCAATGTAGTGAGAAAAACAGTAGCTTGGTTCAGAATTTATAAATTAATTTTAAAAATTATCATTAAATGATATATGTTTATGTGTATGAGGCTCAAATAATCATCAGTTCTCACCTATACATGTTTTAAAAAAGTAATCAGAATATAAAAATACAATGGTACAAAAAATATCAAACTTCTAAGCAATAATAAATTTTGTATTAGGAATAATTATTATTTTAACGTTATGCATAATAATGTCCTATTCATAGTACAAATCATAATCCCAGCCCATAGAACAACTTTGGGCAGTAGGCCTGCTTGTAGAATGGTGTGCCTTCAGGCACTGAATTGGGAGAGCCAAGTTTACTGAGCCACAGAACCAGAGCCAAGTGCCTTCGGCTGTCAGTTTATGGTGCGGTGGTATATCCTGGGGGCCTTTATCAGCAGTGCTAGAGGGGCTTTGTAAAATTTCCCTGGGCTGAGGCCCGACTGTGGGCATGGCTGAGGAGAGGCTGTTCTCACTGGAAGAACTATTCCCTGAGCATTTTCTGATTCTGAATTATAACCTCTTAATTATAAACCCCATAACGGTGAGTGTATTGGCTGAGTTCTCTGTGGCTGCTGCAGTGGTATTGAATCCAGAGAAGAAGTAGAGAGTGTCCTGGGAGGGATGGTTGGTGCCATCATTTCTGCAGTAGTAGTGTAAAATAATTTTAGAAAATATTTAAAAAATACGTGTGAACATAGAATAGTAAGGATTGCTGTTGTTGTTAAGTGCCGTAGAGTCGGTTCCAATACATAGCAACCCTATGTAGGATTTCTAAGGAGTGGTTGGTAAATTTGAACCACTGTGGTTCAAACTTTATCCCACAGCACCACACCAGGAGTCCTAATAGTAAGCAAGTTTTGTTGTTGTTGTTATGTGCCGTGGAGTCGGTTCCGACTCATAGTGACCCTATACAGGGTTTCCGAGGCTGTAAATCTTTATGGGAGCAGAAAGCCTCATCTTTCTCCTGCGGAACAGCTGGTAGTAGTTCGCAGCCCAATTCGTAACCACTACGCTACCAGAGCTCCTTCACAGAAAAATCAAGTCTACATATTTTCATAGTCACTTTTCCTCTTGATCAGTACAGGAGACTTTAATGGATAATTAATCTGAAGTTCAACTCATAAATCTTCCCTCATCCACCCTCTTAATGAAGATCCTGCAGAGTGAAATGACTGCAGATAAATTATTTCTAACATTCACAAGTTATGTGTAAATGAGAATACAGTTTTATGCTTATTAAAATAGTTCAACTCTCACCTTTCTTTTGCCTGGAGATCCTTTTTTATTAATGCTTCAAACTTCTTAATCTCATTGGCAACATCCTTTAAAGAAAATTCATCATCAGTTCTCTGTTTCAAAAACCACTGGAAATCTTTATCTACCACATTCATTCAAGTTTATAAGGTGACATGCGTTATTGTTGTTGTTGTTATCCTGTACAGGGTTTCCGAGGCTGTAAATCTTTACGGGAGCAGAAAGCCTCATCTTTCTCCCATGGAACAGCTGGTAGTTTCGAACTGCTGACCTTAGGATTAGCAGGCTGATTCGTAACCACTAAGCTACCAGAGCCATTAGAGAGATGCAAATCAAAACAAGGAGATATCATCTCACACCAGCAATAACA